GCACGCGCGGTGCGGAAGACGCGGCAGCACCCCGTGTGGGCCAATGGTGGATCCGCGGGGGGCCTTGGAAGTGACAACGGCCGCCTAGAAAGAGCCGGAGCCATCCGTAAGTCTGACCCATGGCGCGCAAGATGCCCCAGTGGCTCAGGTCCCGCTTGCGCCATGTCAACCAGACGTGGGCTCGTCCCGCTGGCCCTCCTCTCCCCGAGGGCGCGCGCGCGCGGGGCGGGCCACCCTCGAACTTGTACTGGAGCTACGCTGGTCGCAGGTCCTGAGCCATCTTGGAGGTCTCGGGGGCCCCCAAACGGTGCGGTGACCGCACCGTGCGGTGAGTCGGTGGGGATTCGGGGTCACCGCACGGTGTTGGGACCCGGGTCCCTCTCCGAGGACGCCTCGGGCGGCAGGGTCCTCTAGGGCCCCAAGACGGCGCGGTGAGGGGCCGTGCGGTGAGGCCTCTTGAGAAGACCGTTTCGGGACTCCAAGGAGGTCCTGCAGAGTGCAGACTGCGGCAAAAGCGGGGCCGTGCGCGGGCGCTTCGCGAGCCCTCCGCCTCGGTCTCCGACCGGGCGCCCTCGGGGGTGCCCGCCCTGAACCGGCCTGCCGCCCCCGCCAGGGCACGGTGCAAGAGGGCACACGCTGCGGCAAGCTCGGGCCCGCGCGCGGGCGCCACGTGATCTTCAGTCGGGCAGGTCCCTCTACGGGAGGAACATAGATAGTCAACAAATAGTCGGGGGAGTTTTTTTTTTTTGTTCTTCTTCATTTTTTTGAGTATTTTTTATGCTTCGTCCAGGATCCGCTTGGTAGGACGACATGCCCGACCTAAACGTAATCACTTTGCGCTGATTTTGGACAGGGAAGGCGGCGGCGCCCTCAAAAGTTAACGGGCGAGGAACGGCATACCATAAACTTTTTCGCTGTCGGGGGCGCCTGTCCCAGGGCGGCTGGAAAGTTTATACCCTTACTGTGGCACGCCAATGTCTGAATTGTGCAGCCGCCCTGGGGCAGCGCCCCTGGCGACGGACAAGTTTATTTTATGCTGTTCTTCGCCCGCGGCGTAATTTCCGCTCGGCGCGGACCCACCATCCCCGTAGGGACACCATGCAAAGTACACTGTGCGGCAAGAGCCAGCTCCTGCGCGGGCGCCCTGATTGGGACGGCGGGTGAGAGAGAGAGCGGCGCCCGGGTCTGGGGGATTGAGGGTCGTTGGCGGGGGTAAGACGGCCGGGGCGCGTTGTCTCGGGTTTGTCGCCAGTTGGGTGGGGGGGGTACATATCAATAAGGAACAGTCATGAAGCCCTCCCGAAAGGGGAAGAAGGTGGTAGAACGAGGAACCACGGTAAACCACCTCCGCGGGCTGGTAGGGTTTGGGTTAGGGTCGGCCAAGGGCTTTGCCGTTTCTGGGGGCCAGCGTGCCCCAAAATAAAGTGAGCGCGAGCCGGGGGCGGCCCAGGGGGGGGTGAAGGCCAAGGGAGTTGATGTCATAACCGCGGCCATGGAGCCTCCTCGGGTTTCATGGCCCCTTCTTCTTTTACTGCGTCCACTGGTCCCCCTCTCGTCCGCGCATATGCCTCCGGCCATGACTTGCGGACCCCTCTCTTGGCCGCCACCTCTTGGGCGCCGAGAGGGCGCCGAGAGAGGGGGCCGTTTTGGCTCTTCGGGGCCCTACATGGGCCCTTTTGGACCGTCAGAAAACGACTCAGGATTTCACGATGAAGAGCTGGTCTTGGGGGAATGCCCCGTGGGCCTCCTCCTCTCCTCCTCCTCTCCTTTCTCCTCCTATCCTATGCTGTTTAGTTGGCGCGCTGTTTGACAGCACAGGGCCACCAGATGCCCATGTCGTTGCACCCCTTGATAGATTGGCGCTCCCGTGCCACCTTGCCGTGCCCCCGCGGCTCACTGCGGTAAGTCGGACGGCCGACGTTAGATGTCCAGCACCCGTTTCCCTCAGGACCCGTCTGTTTCATGCCGACTTTTGGCGGCCCTTGAAATCCCTGGCATACAAGGCTACAATTTGGGGATGTGTGATCCTGAACCCCCTTCGGTGATCCATCGACTTCGACACTCCTCTCGAGAGATCGTCGATACAATGGGCTCCCTCTAGTGGGGTTGTGGGGTTAGGAACACAGGTCCCCCTGTTTTGGCGGGTCGGCTTCGGACCCATAGCACCTCGCGTTTGGAGATCGAAGACTTTGACCGAAAAGGGAAGGTCAAGGTTCTCGGACGTTTCTGGCATTTTTTACCCCTTCTGGGCGCTCTCCTTGCAGTGGCTGGCCCTCGAAAGGCTGCCTGGGGCGTATCCCAGGGTCGGTCTGGGGGTTGACTTTTGACCTCCAGGGCCAGACCCCCCTTCGCGTCGTGACAAGTCACGGCGTAAGTTTTTGTTGGCAGTTTTGGCTCCAGAGGGATCCTTACCCGGCCCCGAGGCCGTCGCGAAACAGATCAGGACGAAGAGCCGGCCGAGAGGTTTGGTTGCGCACGTCACGACTTCGGGGGTCTGCGGAGGCCTTCGGAGGCTCTCGTGCGTGCTTCTCTCTTCGCGGAAAAGGGAGGCGTCAGTTCTGTGCATTTTTTTTCATGTTGTGATCGCCCTTGGATGCGGAGTGTTTCCAGGCGCACTCTACATGTGTTGCCTTGTTACCTCCCGTGTCCGTTGCCAAATCTAATCTGCCAGTCGAAGCTCGAATCTTGACCCGTCTGCACACCATCCGTGACCTGCGCGAGCTTGCGTTGGACGGTGCAGTTCTATGCATTGCTGTGATGCGCTCTCATGGTGCACATCAGCGCAGGCTTCTTAACAGCTTCGATGACGAGTACGTTATCGGCAAGGATTCTTTTCTGAGTTTTATCGTTTCGTGGCTGGGAAACGGCTGTACGTCCTTCGTCTTATTGTGTGCCGCTTTCGAGAGCTTAGGTCAACCGAAGGTGTCTGGAGGAAGTTTGGCGCAAGGTCGTGGAGTGATAGTTCACGTCGTAAGTGCCTGCATTTTTCCACGGCGTATGGTGCTTGTGGTATCGACGCTTCGACTGCACTCCCTATTGGCGTGCCACTGCGGTCGGCAGATGTAGCATGTCCCATGCACATTCTTGTTATATTTGTGTTTCTTGCTGCAATCGTCTGTTGCGTCTTGGACTGTCCAAGTTGTCTACATCATTTGTCGTTGACGCTTTCTAACGCCGCCATGCGAATCTGGATAAGCACGCGAAGCTCACGCACACGCATGCGCGGACTTGTGCGACTGCGCTTGCGCTGGCGCTCGCGCTCGCAAGCGCCTTGCCTACTTGTCCGCTTGCCCGCGCGCTCGCACCCGCGAACTCGTGCATCTCTGCGCGCCTTCCGCCTCTGGAGCCCCTCCTGGGCTTTTGGCCGGCGTGCTCGCACGCGGCTGGCTGACGGGCGCTACACGAGCACCCGCGCGAGCGGGCTCACCATGGGCGCGCTGGGCCAGAACGGGCAGTGGGCGTGGGTTAACCAGGCGCGCTTCCCGAGAGGAGCGAGCACATGCTTGGTGTGCGCTCGTCGTTTCGATGCTGCTCCCTGTAGGTGCACCTCCCCCTCCTCCCCCTCCTCCTCCTCCTCCCTCCTCCTCCTCCTCCTCCTCCTCCTCCCCTCCCCCTCCTCCCCTCCCCCTCCCCCTCCTCCTCCTCCTCCTCCTCCTCCTCCTCCTCCTCCTCCTCCTCCTCCTCCTCCTCCTCCTCCTCCTCCTCCTCCTCTTCCTCCTCCCCCTCGCACGGGCCAGCCGTGCAAGTAAATCGTGCAATATAGGTGATTCCCATGTGGGCTTCACAATTTCTGTCTACATGGGCGGAAAACGTGTTGCCGAGACCAGCGTTATAGTGTTTGCGAGCGTACGTATGCGGGGAGAAAAGCTCGACGAGAAAACGGTCAGTGCCTGGCCGAATCCTCCCACGCAGCGCGCGGAGTGCCCACGAGTCCAGCTTTTAGCAAACGTACGTGTGCACGCGATGACGTCGACGCGAGCCTGGGCTGTGGGCCTGCGCCAGCGCACTCCTGGTCGAGTTTTGTCCATGCATGTGTTGCTTTTTGTGTCCTGATTGGAGGCGGGGCGGGATGTTTCCCCGCTTCGGCTCTGCCTGATGGGGATCTCACCAGTTTGCAGAAAAAAAACACGGTGGGTGCGGGGCCCTTTCCCGCCAGCGTTTCCCGCGTTGATTCGGGGCTCTTCGGGGTTGTGCTTGAGGAGGCGGCCTCCGGCGTTGCCCAGGGTTCCTCGGAGTTTCGCTCGGCGTTGCTTGACAATGCCAGGCAATGCCAAGCAATGCCGAGCAATGTCAGGCATTGCGTAGCGATGTCAAGCAACGCCAAGCAATGCAAGCCAATGCCCGCCAATGCCAGCCAATGTCACGCAATGCCAAGCAATGCCAAGCAATTCCAAGCAATGCCAACCAATGCCAAGGAATGCCAAGCAACGACAAGCAACACCAAGCAATGTCAGGCAGTGACAAGCAATGCCAAACAATGAAAGACAATGCCAAGCAATGCCAAGCAATTCCAAGCAATGCCAACCAGTGCCAAGGAATGCAAGACAATGCCGAGCAAAGCCAAGCAACGGCAAGCAATGCAAATCAATGCCAAGGAATGCCAACTGGTGTCAAGGAATGCCAACTACCGCCAAGCAGCGCCAAGCAATGCCAAGCAATGCGAATCAATGCCTAGCAATGTGCAGCAATGCGAAGCAATGCTAAGCAATACCAAGTAAGGATTCCAAGCAATGCGAAGGACCTCCAAGCATTGATTTGCATTGCTCAGAACTGCTCAGAAGTGTTTTGGAAGACCACTTTTTTGGGTCGCGCCAGGTTCCTTTGTCTTCGAACTCCCAGGCTGATGCACATTGTGGCTTCTGTGGGCGTTGCGATGCTTCTGTCGTTGGGCATGCGGACGTAGCCCGCAGCCTGTCGAGGAGGTCATGGCTTCGACGCATAGCTACATGGAGGTGAGGTTCGCAACGCGGAAGAGCGACGGCGCCCAGGCTGTAGTGAAGGCCGCGCGGTTTGCAGCACGGGAGGCGGGGAGCGTAAGGATGAGTGTTGTCGAAAGGAGTCGGGGAGGAGTCGGCAGACGGTTGAGGCTCGGTCTCCGTGCAAGAAAGAGGAGTCGAGGCGCGGAGGCGGCCACTGCTAGTTGCGCGCGGCCTCGGTCAAGGGATCAGCAACACTGTCGGCTGTTCGGCGGTTTCGGGCTGCGCTTTTTTGTGGTGGGCTGGGCAGGGGTACCGACACCAAAGGGGTGCCACTGAGGATGGGGAGGGACACGTCCACACCCGCGAAGCAACAAAAGAGACTGCTGCCAATCCCTGTGTGTTTTGTTCGCCCGCGCTCGTTTCGGGGCTGTAGCGGGACACGCTGGGCTTGGGCTCCAGCTTGTTTTTTGGATTTAGTGTGTGTGTATTGGTGTTAGTGTTTGTGCGGCTCGCTGGGCTTTCGTGCCAGCCCTAGTTTTCTGCACCAGGTCCCTGGGCTGGCGCCGCTGGAGGGTAACAGCTTCTGTCGCAGTTCGCAGCTACGCCTGCCTTGCCGCGGGCGCAGTCGCCCTAGCTGCGTCGGCTGGCCAGCCTCCTCCCCTTTTCCAGGGAGGAGGAGGAGGAGGAGGAGGAGGAGGAGGAGGAGGAGGAGGAGGAGGAGGAGGAGGAGGAGGAGGAATGCCTTATGCCAAGTTCGGGGGGCGGGCGGATGGGTTGGACCACTGGCGCGGCGGGCTCGTCCCCTGCTCTCGCCCACCCGTGCCTGTCCCGGCGGCAGGCGGGCGCGCCCGCGAGCCGGGCTGCGCAACACCGACCACACTGTTCGGGGAAACGTGAGGCTCTCAGTATCGTGTAGCCGACCCCCAACCCCATCCTCATCCCCTTCGAGACCTCCACCAAATCACCACCCCAGTTGGGGATACACCCCTCATGCACCCCTCGAGACGCGAAGGGAACGGCCTATGTCCCGATCAAGGGGGTAAATCGGCCAGTGGGGCCCAGGCCACGCCGCTGGGGATGGGGGTCGGATAAACGATGCTGAGACTCGAGTAAGCCGGAACTCGGGCTTGCCGACGTTTTTTGACGAGCGCGTCCTGGATTTTGACAGTCCCGTTTTCGTGGGATGTTTGCAGCGGGAGTTCGCGTCAAATTTCAGATTGGGTCTCGTCATTTTTATGGTGGCCCCGTCAGGCCAACCCGAGTCCCTGTACCCGAGTCTTACGTCTCCCCGGACTGTGCGATTGTTCGCGCGGTATTGCAGCCGCGCAATTCTAGCCGCCACTTCGTTCCAATCTGCCTGGGACGTTCGCCTTTCTGCATTGCATTCGCGCTTCATTTTTTTTGTTCGCCTGCAGTGGCATCCGCGTTTATTTTGCGAGTGACTGCCCGCATCCAGCCCACCCATCTGCCTGAGCGTGACCCGGCTTAGTGCATCGCGACGGTGTCGTCACCTCGCCGCTGGAGAAAACAAGCTCTAGATGCTTCGCGTAACTCCATCAGCAGTTTTCTCTTTCGACTTTACCTGACGGCTCGCGGCTGACCGCGTCGCTCGCGAGCAAAAAGTAACCCCATCAGCTCCCTCGGCGGCAGCTCTGGCAGCCGAGAGTGCGCGCGCTAGGTAATTAGGTTTCGCTCGTAGCCCAGGCTGACGTCGGACGCCGCCTCCGCCTTGGCTTGCGGCCGCGACCAAACAAGTAACCCCATCAGCGGCACTTTCTGTGCTTCGCCATGCTCGTGTTCAAGGATTTCGTGTTCGGCACGCCCCCTGCTGCCGACCGCCTGGTCGGTTCGCGGCCTCTAGCGCGCCGTCGTTTTCATTATTTTTCACTTCGCTACCGGCGCTGCCCGCCGTAGCAGGCTCGAGGTTCGACCCGCTTCGCGCGCCCGTGGACCAAAAAGTAAACCCATCAGCCCAGTCAGAAACAATGCCCAGAGGAGTTGCCTCGATCAGGGAAGTGGGCAGCCCCCCAGTGGAGGCCTCTAGGAGCGTCTTGGGGGCCTCTTGGCGGTCCCAGGGGCCTCTTGGCGCGACTTGGGTGCCTCGGGGAGCTTCCTGGGGCCTCTTGGTGGTCTTGGGAACCTCCTGGAGGCTTCATGGGCGCCTCTTGGGGACTCCTGGGCGCCTCTTGGTCTCTCTGGAGGCGCTCTTGGGAGTCTTGGGAGCGCTCTTCGGGCCATCTAGGGGGAAATCGACCCCCGAAAATGGGAGCCCCAATTACGCCCCCCCAGGACCCCCAAACTCGCCTCTTGGGCCCCTCTTTGGGCGCTCTTGGGCGCTCTTGGGGCCGTCTTGGGGCTCTCGTGGGCTTCTTTTGGGCTTCTCTTGGGGCCCGCATGGGCCCTCTGGGAGCCATCTGGAGGCTTCCGAAGGCCACGGGAAGCAACACACTTCATTGATTCTCCTTCGGTTTTTGAGAGATTCTGGCTTGTTGGCGGCCTCCTGGGGAGGTCCCGTGGCCATTCGGAGCCGTCATGGCGCGGTCTTGGGCCCCCTTGGAGCATCTTGGGAGCCATCTGGAGA